TAGATTACCATTAGAGGGTGTTACACCAATAATAACTACCTCTACTGGTAATATAGGCATGTCATACCTTTGATCTAGCACCCTCCAATGGTAATCTGAGCATGTCTGATCGTAACTGATTTTGCAACCCCTAACACTGATGTACGCATGTCATTTCATTGATCTAACACCCTCTACTGGTAATATAGGCATGTCTTATTATTTATCTAACACCCTCCATTGGTAATCTAGGCACGTCTGATCATAAAAGATTTAGCAACCCCAAACACTGATGTACGCATGTCATTTCATTGATCTAACACCCTGCAATGGTAATCTAGGCATGTCTTATTATTGTTGTAACACCCTCTAATGGTAATCTAGGCATGTCTGATCATAATTGATTTAGCAATCCCTAACACTGATCTACACATGTCATTTCATTGATCTAACACCCTCTACTGGTAATATAGGTATGTCTTATTATTGATCTAACACTCTCTAATGGCAATCTAGGCATGTCTTATTATTGATCTAACACCCTCCAAAAGTAATCTAGGCATGTCTGATCATAATTGATTTAGCAATCCCAAACGCTGATCTACGTATGTCATTTCATTTCATTGACCTAACAACCATCCAATGGTAATATAGGCATGTCATACCATTGCTCTAACACCCTCCAATGGTAATTTAAGCATGTCTGATCGCAACTGATTTAGCAATCCCTAACATTGATCTACGTATGTCATTTCATTGATCTGACAACCCTCCAATGGTAATATAGGCATGTCTTTTTATTTATCTAACACCCTCTAATGGCAATCTAGGCATGTCTTATCATTGATCTAACACCCTACAAAGGTAATCTAGGCATGTCTGATCATAATTGATTTAGCAATCCCAAACACTGATCTACGTATGTCATTTCATTGATCTAACAACACTCCAATGGTAATATAGGCATGTCATACCATTGATCTAACACCCTCCAATAGTAATCTAAGCATGTCTGATCGTAACTGATTTAGCAACCCCTAACACTGATCTACGTATGCCATTTCATTGATCTGACAACCCTCCATTGGTAATATAGGCATGTCATACCATTGATCTAACACCCTCCAATGGTAGTGACTGATCGTAACTGATTTTGCAACCCCTAACACTGATGTACGCATGGCATTTCATTGATCGAACACCATCTACTGGTAATATAGGCATGTCTTATTATTTACCTAACACCCTCCATTGGTAATCTAGGCACGTCTAATCATAACAGATTTAGCAACCCCAAACGCTGATGTACGCATGTCATTTCATTGATCTAACACCCTCTACTGGTAATATGGGCATGTCTTATTATTGATATAACAACCTCTAATGGTAATCTAGGCATGTCTGATCATAACTGATTTAGCAACCCCTATTACACACTGATGTACGCATGTCACGTCATTGATCTAACACCCTCCAATCATGATCAGATATGCCTGGATTACCATTGGAAGGTTGTTAGATCAACGATATGACATACATAGGACTACAATAACATTTTCGATAATACGTCATGAATACATTCTTGGTCTGGGAGCCTTGCTCTCGTCAATCAAGACGGAAGGCGATGGCTCACGATTCATGAGAATGAAGCTCCCAGGCCAATAACGTACTCGTGATGTAATTATCGAAAATATGTATTAGTGGATGTTAGTGTATTGATGAAAACGTAGACCAGTGTTAGAGAGTATTTTAAGTAACGAAAGCTTTTTGTCATTGATATGAAATACCAAAATCAGCATAAATTAAAGAGTTTTGAATTAATAGATCATGGATATGACATTCCTAAATCAATGTTAAAGAATGTTAAATCATATATTAAATGCCTAGACAAATGTCAAAGTTTGCTAGATCACTGTCTATTACTATTAGGTCCTTCCAAAGTTTGAACTTTAGAAAAGAGATATAAATAAGCGACTACAATAAAACGTATATTGTACAATTTTTTTACAGCGTATAGGAAAATCTATTTACATTACTACTCTAAACTTAAGCTACTTAACTAAGCATTCCAGGAGCTTTTTCAATGGCTTGCCTACTTCCTAGTGGAAGGTTGTAACTTGTCTGGCCTAAGGTTTCAGTCAGTGTGAAATACATGGGACCATGCATTGTACGAATGTTTTTCCCAGTAAAGTCACTTGTTTGGAATGCAGGACTTTGTAACCTTCAGTTAGTAGGACTAAGGTCCAACCAGTAATATTTGTAAGTGGTCCTGTTTGCTGTATTTAAGTTGGCTTAGTGATAGCATAGAATAACCAAAACCTTTCTTCTGCTTCGGTATAAACGGGCAAAATTAAAGGTTTTTCCTCCTGGCTGTGCTTCATGTTTTTGCCAACAGCCATGATTCGAGGTCATCTGATGAACTCTTGAACACTTGCTTCTCGTCTTCACCTGTGAGCTTCCATGCTGCAGAAGCCAACTGGTTTTTCTCACTCACATCAAATCTTTGCACTCATCTAAAGGACATTATAAAAATAACATTCTAGGTGATTCATCAATATTGTTCTGGGAATGAGAATTTGCGGAAACTTCCCAGGGGTGAAGTTTATGATATCCTCATAATAAAAGCAGACAAAAAAGTTGAGGTCACCAAGCTCATTCCGACGATTTGACAAATGCAACATGCCAAATCCCCCCCCATATGGCACAATCTTGACCCTTTTATGAGTTATATGAACAATTGCTCATCCTTTATTCATTGAATCTTATTAACAAGGATCCTATATATTTATATACAAGAAAACGCGGTTTAGCAAAACAAAAAGCATCGACGTGCATTGTCATGGTGGCGACAAAAAAGCACGGTCAGAGACCTTCTTAAAGAAATAAAACATGCAACATGATGTGGTTTAGTGTTTGTTACACAGGAGCCCTAGCCAGAATTCTATCATTTTTGAAGATATATTTCCTGAAGCACACAATGTCAATGCAGAGTGATTTTCTCTTTGCTCTTACTCTTACTCTTACTTTATCACTTTGTTATTAGATATTTAGCATAAAAGAGCAGAATACAAAACTGATGAATCACCACATGGTTATATTTCATGGCTGAATATTTGCATTTTATTGCTTCACCAAGACAATGTTAGTAAGCCTCTGAGGGTGAACGACTGAACCAGGTAGAGCTTTTTGCTATCCGGCCAGAATATCCAAGCGGTGGATATGTTTGATATATAAGCTAGGTTTGAGCTTTCAATTCATTTAAGGTAAAACAATGGTTTCAATTGACTATAAAATAGCTCGATTGTTTATACTATTTTGACTCAAACACATGGATATTTACACTTCATTATGTTGTTTAACAATAGTCAATCTTTTTATTCTAACATTTGCATGCTCTCTGTTTCATGACTGAAAGTGTCTGACTGTCTGGCAGCAGACAAAGTAACATATGGCCATATGACTCAGTTCCAGCTGGAACTTTCTTCCAGTTCCGGCCAGATCCAGTTCCAGCCGGAACTTAAAAAAATGGTTTCTGGTGCACCCCTACGGGTCTAGCCTAGGAAGGCGCTTGATCGTGTGTGCATGCCTATTAACTCATTAAGCCGCAATGCGTCCCAGTGCACCCTACTTTTTTTGCTTGTCTAATGCCAATGGGGAAGCTCTGCACTTTAAGGGGTTAACCAAAAAATCTGACAATGTCTCTAGTTATTATGCACCTACCAATGTTAACCGCCAGATGGGGGGTGGGTTCGGGCGTATGTGGGGTATTTGATTATCAATTCCATCCCCACCCTGGGGATTTTGATTAGCATTTTGGCCCCAATTTGGGGCAATTTGAACCGAATGACTGTTATTAACATAGTATTTATTGCAATTTATTGCAAGAGGGCATTTGAGCAATATTTTTTGCCCGACGGTGGGGGCATTTGATTGAAATTTTGCTCAAAAAATCAAATGCCTCACCTATGCCGGACCCCCCCCCCCCCTTCTGGGGCTTAAAATCGATAGGTGAATTAAACCCATTGAGACGTAATGTGCCCCAGTGCCCGTACTTTTTTTTACTTGTCTAACGCCAGACAATTTCACTCATCAATGGGGAAACATGCATGTTACAGTAAGTTCAGATCGTCAACTAGGCATGTAATAACAATATACGAAGTAGACTCTCGCTTAAGTAGGTGCATAGAAAATAGTGCCTTGAATGCACAGTAGCTGCACTATTGATCAAGTATTTTGGTTTTCACCCAAGCAAGGCCTGATATTAGTTTATATTAGTATAATTTTGTATGTCATCTAGTGTCTTTAATAGTAAATAGTCAACATTAACATCACTATGATATCTATATTTACCTTTATAACTTGAGTCGTTGTTAAGCCAGTTTCTGCTACAGCGCTTTCGATCATTTCGCGATAATTTAGACCAACACCAACCATTCCACGGCCGTAAAACCTTTCCAAAATATCTCTCTGGTTGTCGCTTATTCTAGTTCTCTTTCATATCTCCATTTCATTGCACAGAATCGCAAATAGACTAGAAAATCTGCTAGAAATGTTTTCAAATATGGCAGCTCAAAGCTCGAGAAGAACGTGTGATAGAAACACGATTGTGATTGGTTTATATATAATGATATGCGAAAGCGTCAGCGTCAGGTAGCGCAGGCGATAGTCTGGCACGGGTAATACCGAATATTCTCAATTGAGAACATATGGGTAATACCCGTTGAGGTGTATGCTAAACGGGTGAACAAAAACGTATGGAGAAAGTTCTTTAACCACAGCAGTTGCTCCTCTTTTTATTTTAGGTTTATTTTTCTTCGTTTTGAATAGTTTTGAAAGACTTTTAGACATTTTTTGCTGTTTGAAACTCGGCTCTCGTCGCAGGGCAAAAAAAAATTGCGTATTGCCCGTGGCTAATACGGCCGAAAATCCTGCCTCGTCACAGCCAATCAAATTGCGCGATTCATCAAAACAAATGCTTGCCATATAATAAAAAGAACTATTGCATATTTGCATTCATGTGTATTGTGTAATATGGAGAAAATTGGTAGGGAGGAAACATATACGCCTTATAAACTGCAAAATTTAATTGAATGCAACTTCTTAATTGTATCTTAACACTGGTTTATGAAGAGACGCTAGAGAGCGTGTTAAACAAAGTTTCAGTGGAATTTTGCATTGTTTACATTTTGCTGCAAGACACTTCTACAACTTTCGCCTTGCTCGACCAGTAAGGGAACGCGACTAATTAGCGATAGCCAATTAACGGATCTTCAAAAGGTTGTAAATTTCACACATACAAATACGAGCTATAATATAATAAGGGGCGGACCATTTGATTTTTGAGGGGGGAGGTGGAAGATTCAGTCTGTGCAAGAATTTTTTTTCCGCCCAGGCGAACGAGACAGATATTTTTTTCCTGTAAAAGTGCAGCGCGAGATATTTTTTTCCCAATATATTTGGCCGCAGGATATTTTTTTTGCCTCTCATAATAACGGCTTACAGTAACTTTAGGCTTTCATATAGCTATCATCGGAGACGTAGCAGGGGTTTTCAGTCAGAGGAGGCCGAGAACTGAATCCCAAGAGGGGCCAAGGAATTTTCACTGTGCTTTATTTTATATATGGTTATGTCTTAATGTTCCCCACACTAAAGCGTGCAAGTTTACTTACAAAGAATGTATAACTGCACCAAAACCTAAAACATGCAGGGATAGAGTAGAGTACTCGAAAATGGGGGAGGGTACAGTATATGAATGACCTGTAACCTTGGGGGGTTCGGGGGCATGCTCCCCCGAGAAAATTTTAAAGTTTGAACCTCGGAAATGCTATTTCCTGCGTTTTCAGCCATGGATAATTATCTTAAGCCCAGATTTTCTCAGGGGGGGGGCAACAATTTTGCCAGGGAACACCACTGGCTATCGTATGTCAGAGGCTCCAAAGGCGGTAGAATCCCTGTGATGTTATCCACTGTTCACCCTGTGTTCTTTTAAGCAAATGTGCCTGCTCAAAAATGCAAAATCTTGCAAGCCTGTGGACACAATACTGAAGTGAAGAGCATCAGTATAGTTACATGTAGAAATTTTTTTTTTGAGCGCTCTCTTTTGCATGATATTTTTTTTCTCGATTGTATGCTGCATGATTTTTTTTTTCTTTCTCCTTGGGTTGCAGGAAATTTTTTTTTCGAAATCTCCCCCCCCCCCCCTCAAAAGTCAAATGGTCCGCCCCTAAATATTAAAATTTCAGCTGTAAAAGATTGATTTTCGTGTGGTAACTCATTTTTATTTAGCACATTATTTAAATTCACGCCTCGCGGAAGCTTGGTTATATTTACTGAATTATACTGTAGCTGTTTATAGACCGTACAGTAGCCCGTATCGGGATATTTGGACAACGGTTTGCTGAACAAATTATGCAGTACAAAATATCCTTTTGTGACAAGGAAGGCAAAGAATGAAAACACTACTCTTTCAAATATACGCTTACAAGCTTTTTCCAACGAGATATTCGTTTATTTGGAAAGACACTCCTATTTCGTTAAGACAAGAAACCATTTTGAAAGTCAATAAATATGCTGAAGGAAAATACGGAAAAGATCAAACTTTGAAAATCCTTATAGCTGTAAATTCTCTCAATTCTGAAACAAAGAAAGTCAAGAAAGGGAAGCATGGACAATCGTCTGGAGTGAGTACAAATCATACGCAAAAACATTCCGCTTCCAGTAACGCGAAAGTTAATACAGTGACTATGCATGTTAAGCTATGCAAGTTAAAAACGTTTTGTGATAATGAGTTGGCTGATCCAAGCATTTCAACACTGGAGAAAGAGAGGAGACACTTTTGGAATAATTTAAGTGCCAAAGTTGACTCTCATCAGGTGTACAAAGATTGGAGTTTGCAAGCAAGAACTGGAATTGTTGACACAGAGTGGACTTTGAAAAAGACCGAACTTCTTAAACTACAGGGTGTATAAAAAAAAACGCAACCTCGGAATTTCCCAAGAAATCGACATGGTTTTAAAGACAAAAGATTTTAGGCGCCTGGGAATTTAAAATGTCAAAATTATTGCACACGCGAGTGCATAAAGCAAAATTTATGCATTTATTTAATGCACAACAACAGTAATAAGATCTATTAGCAATTCGATTTCAATTCCCAGGGGCTTAAAATCTTTTATGCTTAAGAATTGCAAAGTGATTTCTTAGGAAATTCCGAGGTTGCGTTTTTTTTTATACACCCTGTAGATGCGGAGGAAGTTCTAAAAAGATTAGACAATAATGAAAAGTCGGGAAGCGATAAAAAAATTCGTGTAAACTTGGATCGCCTATTGCAGACCGAGTTACGCAGGAAATCTACCTATAAGAAAATCGAAAACCTTCATAAAAATTTGAAAAGCTCTTCTACAGACCATCATAACATTGAGGAGCAAATTGCGATTGAAGAGGATGTATTAGACAAAATATTCACCGAACTAAAATCAAGTCAATCGTCCTTAGAAATGGCTATTACTAGATCTAGTGTTTGCCAGGCGGATGCCACTGACATTGTCACTGATTCTGATAAATCCGTTAATTTGAAAACGGTGGCAGTGTCACCTGGGCTAACTGAAGACGAAATTATGCATGTAGTAACTTCGACGATGGACGATTTCAGAGTAGAATATGGCGAGTAAATGTTTTAAAATTTTGGTTCAATTGAAACTTTTCCCATGCCCATGGGCCATGGCCATGCAATTAACTGAATGAAATATATTCTAGCGTATTTACTCACTAACATACTTTATAATCTGTATGGTCCCGCGCATGCTGTTAAAAGCCTATTCTGTTGTCTCATGACCGTCTGTTGAGCCAGGTTTATTGTAAAATATATAATTTTTGTTCATAGATTTTACACTGAATATTAATATTTATTATAATAATAAAAACAATGTCTGTACAAGTGAAAGCTTTTAGTGAGTATTTATACATCCACATATTAAATTTTGGAAGTCTATAATGGCTACGCCTACGGCTAACATTCCGTTGAAAATTTTATACTACGTTTCTAGTATTGAGACTATATTCTGTTTTAATACTCTATAACGGAGTGGTTTTCCGTAGCGTACTAACTACGGACCACTACATTGGTCACTCTGAATGCAACTGATCAATTAAAATTTCGTTAAAAATTCACTAAGTAAATCGTAATTTTACCGTAGCGTCATAGTCTAAACGCGGCCAGAGCCGGGCTGGTCCGTTATGAACTGGGCTAGCTCGCTTTTATACCGGGCCAAAGTGTTATTTGTTTCACATGAGGTAGGCATACACCGATACACGCGCTATATAAATTCCCGCGTGATTTTTGGCGGGAACGCGATATTTGTTTTAAGGGTCGGACCATTAGAAATCCCGGGAGGGGGGGGGGTGAAAATTCCCCCAAAAAAATTCGTGCAAAGGAAAATGCCTGGAAAAAAAATTCGTGCAGCCACTACGTCAGAGAAAAAAAATTCGTGCAAGCAAACAGCGAAGTACAAATAGTCTTGAAAAAAAATTCGTGCAGAGGTTAAATGCATTAAAAAAAATTCCTGCAGAGACACGAGACTGAAAAAAAAATTCGTGCCGCAAAAATTTTATACCCCCCCCCCTCCCGGGATTTCTAATGGTCCGCCCCTAACTTTGACTTTTTATTGACGGAAACTGTTTCAGAAGTTTTAATATTGTTGATTTCTTACTTGTTGTGAATTCTTAGATATTTTCTAGAAATAAAATAAAAATAAAATTTCCAGCCCAGTTTAATTAAAATAGGTTTCACTGACAACACTAGATTATATTTATTTTCTAAATAAATAAAATACGTTGTATTAATAGAAAAAAATTGATTGTTTTTATCACCACATTTACCGGGATTGCGAGTTTGAAAGTTTAATATGGCTACGATAATATTAATGCCATGCATGCATGGCAACGTCTAAATCATGGAATGGAACATCTGGAAATATATGGAACATTCAGCGTCTCATAAATCAGTTTTTACAAAACTTTTTTGCACAATTTGGCAATAATAAACGCGCGGATTTACTACAACATAACTTGTAGATTCAGTCAATTTTGACGGGTCCACGTGCTTATTTGTAGAAAATGAAAGGTAAAGCAAAGGCTTCTAAATTCTGTTATCGTTTTCTCAACATGCGCTATATATACAGGGTGTATAAAAAAAAGCGCAACCTCGGAATTTCCCAAGAAATCGACATTATTTTAAAGACAAAAGATTTTAGGCGCCTGGGAATTTAAAATAGCATAACTGTCAAAATTACTGCACACGCGACTGCATAAAGCAAAATTTATGCATTTATTTAATGCACAACAACAAAAGTGATTTCTTAGGAAATTCCGAGGTTGCGTTTTTTTTATACACCCTGTAGATTAAACTATGCCAATACTCAATAGTGGAATATTATTTTGTAGGTTTCATCTCTGATATCTTCGGTTCAGTGAATGACCGGAATGCCATGCCTATGCTATGTAGATGAAAATACCACTTTTCGATTCAGTGAAATAATATCTCCTAATTCCTAAGTACGGAGTAACGCGATAGTTTTAGTCAAAGACAAACATTATAGCGATTTGTGAACCTTGAGTGGTCAAGCGATATTATATTTCAATAAATTATAAATACAGTTCGAAGAATGTAATTGTAAACAAATATGCATGTCAATTGTATTACTAATTCCATATCGTTCGCTGAACTGAACATAACATCACTCATCAGCCCCTTCGAATATATCTTTTTCGTTGTAGTCTTGTTGCAATCACAATATAATGCAATCACAATATAAACACTAGTTACAGTGATATTTGTAAGTCTGTAGCTTCAGTTTTTCATCTTTTATTTCGGTATTTCAATCTGTTGTAGTAATGACTAGTGTACTCAGCAAAATTAGATTTCTAAAGCCAGTAAAGGTCAAATTACAACTGTTACTCCTTTTATTGACCATGCAATTTTAGCATGCGAGTAAAAACCGATATTTTTGCAGATATTTTGAAAACATCAAAATAAATATTTCTATTCGCCGTATTCAGACGAAACTTTCTACATGATAGCCTTACAGTAATGACTAAAACACAAATGTTGCAACATGCATATGTGCACAACAAGGGGGAATTTCGTTCTCGACCAATCAGCGCTTTTGTTTACATTTTTGCCCTAAGCCAATCAGAATGCGTAAAACGCTTCATCACATGAAATTTGCAAACAAATATATGGGGTTACCTCAGAGCTCTTCTGCAAGCGGTTTTTTGCTTTTTTGCCATGAAATTCATATATGTTGTTCTTAAAAGAATTCTCCTCAACTTCCTCGTGGCGATTTTTGATTAATTGCGTGATTGCAAAGATATGGGTCTTCAAACTTTGCATTGCGCAAGCTTAAATACCACCCCTCGAATTTGTAGGTTCCGAACGGATTGGCGTTTTTAAAAGCCTTTCAAATGGAGGTTTGAGAGGTTTTATTTTCAAAAAGATACTTTTATCTTCATATTTTCACATTAACTTATTAATATCCTGTGTAACAAGTAAACAGGACACTTCCGGGCCGGCACAAGTTGACATGTCGATTTCTTGCTAAACAGCGTGACGATCAATATGGCGAATATCTAAATACAGGGAATTTTTAAAATTTTGTTGGTATAAATGGGCTAAAGAAACTCTTCAAATATTTGGACTATGGAACTTCAAACTTATGGCAAATATTTATTTGGTTGATTAGCTCAATAACCGTTTTTTGGCTCGTTTTTCGTCGATTTCAACGTTTGGTCGACTTCAGAATAATGTGTCAACATCGCGTGTTGCAGCCTGTGGACATGAATATTTTCGTTTGTTTGACCATAACACTTGTCGTATTGTTTTGAATCCTTGAATGACAATATATTACTGGTCTCAGAGTCCTAAACTTAAGTCCTAAAAAAATGGATGACTTTGGGACAGATATCAACACTTTGTTCAGATATCAAAATTTATGGACATTATGGACATATATAGTCACTCATGGCATATATATAGCCATAGGACCCTCATTGTTTCTTCCTTAATCTGGCCCACTAGTCACAAATGGGGCCTGTTCTTATGACCTGGCTAGGCAGGAGACAACATTTGCCAGTAATGCCGACATAATATCCTGCTACAGTGCTACTATACTATTCTGGCCTATTTTATTAACTGTGTTCTGGCTAAGGACGAGGTATCCACTGCCAGAATCCCAACTATGCAAGCCAAGAAATTCACCATTCACATGCAGTAAACATTCTATCACACAACCAGGCAACATGAACTTGCCTTTAGGGTCCCATGCTGCCTAGCCCAGATCATATATCCAGACCCTTAGCAGATCCTGAAACTACAATTTCAACATTTTAGGCCATTATGTTGTAGAATCAAGCAGGTATTGTCATGCAGTAGTATAATATCACACCAGGCAAGCTGGTCTTGCCCATTTATATGGGCTTAATATACACCTGCCCATGGTAAGATACTGACTCGTATATTAATTTTATATATGTTTGCATGAGATTGCATTCACATGAAACAGCCTGGTTGAATTATAATTTATTGGCCCAGCATCTGCTTGAGCAAGTTGATATCCTGCATTGGGAGTCTCGCACTAATAAAGGTCATATGCTGGCCAATGCAACCAGCTCACACAACTAAAAATGATGTTATAATACACAATTTGGCCCAGGTAAGTAAGAAATTGATTAGTATAAGCCTTCTGAAGCTGTTGTCATTAAGAAATCAACCAGAATTTCACACAATTAAATTTCTTGTCAACACTTGCCAGGTTAGCCTGGCTCCTGTGAGGCAAATGAAAAACGAGCCCTGAAAAGAAAATCCAGCCAAGTTTGCTGGGCTAGCATGGCCCATTTTGACAGCCTTTAACAGGGAGAGCTTATTTTTGGAAGGGAGATCTGATTTTTGGAATGGAGGCCTATTTGTGAGGTCGCTGGGGGCTTAATTTTGGATTGCATTATTATATAATATGTGTAAAATATTCATTTGTGCACAGGTATTCTGGTCATGGACAAATTTATGGACTAAAAGGTTTCAATTATAGTCTCGGGATCTATTGGGGACCTGTTTATATGATCTAGCTAGACTATCCAGAACACATGCTTGAAGCCTATCATGTTGCCTGTTAGGGATACTGTGCTTATTGTATATGGTGAATTCCTTGGCTTACATATAGCCAGGATTCTGGCAATGGAAACCTCATGCTTAGCCAGGCCAATAGTAGCAGGATAGGATAGGACATACTGGCCAATGTCGTCTCCCACCTAGCCAGGTAATATGAACAGGGCCCAATTGTGACTAGTCAGACAGATGAAGTAAAAACAATGAAGTTCATATATGTCCATAAATTTTGATACCTGAACAGCAACATTGAACAAAATCATTCTGTCCCAATGTTATCCATCTTCCTCATCTTCCTTAAGTTTAGGACTCTGAGACCAATGAGTTTAGGACTCTGAGACCTTATTCAAAACAATAAGACAAGCGTTATGGTCAAACAAACGAAAATATTCATGTCCACAGGCTGCAACACGCGATGTTGACACATTCTGAAGTCGACCAAACGTCGAAATCGACGAAAAACGAGC